GCAGTGATTCACAGTCAAGCTTTGGGCTCGGGACATAAAGAACAGAACCAAGGTACTTTGGTCCAGTATAAAACCTTGAAACTGGAGTGTGGAAAGGTACCGCTGAACTGCGATATATTGGCCGAGGGTATGTTTGTATCGTTACAGAAAGAGGTACTCGCTGGATTCCAGCCAGGTGGATCAGGCCATGGAAGGGTCTGGCTGAAGACATGGTCGTCCAGGAACAAGAAGCAAATGACTCATGCGTTTGAGTCAAAATGTGATGATAATGTGCAGTTTTGGAGTAGAACCGAGATGCTTTTTGCCTCATGGTTAGCACCTGGCGTGGCAGCAGCTAGAGCTTTAGCTACGCTTAATAAGTTAGGATGTTAGTTAGCAAAGCAAACAAATGCGACAACATTAGCATTAAGTGGGTTATTATTAGATACTAATTCTATTAGACATGCTACATTGCAGAATAGAGCAGCCATAGACTTTTTGCTTCTAGCACAAGGCCATAGGTGTGACGATTTTGAAGGTAGGTGTTGCATGAATCTTTCAGATCAGTCAGAATCGGTGCATAAAAGCATTCAAATGTTAAAGGAAGGGTTCAAAAAGTTACAAGTAGACAATGAATGAAATTGGTTGAACAATTTGTTATCTGATTGGGGAATTGGTAGATGGTTAGCTGCAATTGTTAAGACAGCATTGATAATATTGATTGTGATTTTTGTTACAGCATTAATTATTCTGTGTTTATACTCTTGTCTGCAAAAGGCCCTGCAGAAGACGTTAAACTCGGCATTTTTAATTGAAAAACAAAAAGGGGGAATTGTGGGAAACTTCTTGGAAAACAACGGACACGTACCGAAGGTCAACACGAAGGAGGAAATCATGCGCTGACACTGAAACTAGTGCTACTTCCCAACAGATGCGGAATGTGTATTAATGAAAAGCCTGACTTGGCAGAAATAGTAACAAAGTGTAGATAATAAGTTACAGCTGCATTTAACCAAGAATAGTTTGTGTGTATAAGTCTAGAAACCAATGAGCACAAGCCGCAGAGCTAGCCCACGTTGTAGTAAAAAGTATATAATGGCTTAAGTATTTTAATAAAGTGGCTTCAGCATTGATCATATTGGTCTGCGTCTGGGTCCGTCCGCAGTAGACACACTGGAGGGGAGGGATGCCATTCAGAGGGACATGGACAGGCTGGAGAGGTGGGCCCAAGCCAACCTCATGCAGTTCAACAAGGCCAAGTGCAAGGTCCTACATCTGGGTCCGGGCAATCCCAAGCACAAATACAGGCTCGGTGGGGAATGGCTGGAGAGCAGCCCTGAGGAGAAGTACCTGGGTGTGCTGATTGACGAGAAGCTCAACATGTGCCAGCAATGTGTGATCACAGCCCAGAAGGCCAACAGCATCCTGGGCTGCATCAAAAGCAGTGTGGCCAGCAGGTCAAGGGAGGTGATTCTGCCCCTCTTCTCCACTCTCATGAGACCCCACCTGGAGTACTGCATCCAGCTCTGGAGTCCTCAACATAAGAA